TATTTTCTTCATTAGGACTTCCCTACAAAAAAATAAAAAATAACCTGGAATCTCCGCCTGCCTGCCAGTAGCCCCTCTGAATCTCCAGCCTTAGTCCAGTATTGACAACTCCCTCCAATGCCATTTCCTAGTTCATATCAATACAGACATCAGGCATGATTTTGTCCTGTTGAAATTTGAGGTTTTTTTCAAGGTAAAACAGCCAGTGCCAGCAGCAACTAATCATATTTCTTGAATTGCTGACAATAGGGAGATTACATGGAAAGAAGGGGGTCTGCATATAGATAGTTAAAGCTTTTTTATATTTATTGTGTTCCTCTTGTATGCCTTAGTGCATGACAATTAATCGATGCAAAACCTAAGGTATTTCAGTCATGATTCACAAGGTATTGATCGTGTTACAGTTTTCATAGTCAAGCCTTCAGTTCTTGGGGTGGGGCAAAAAACCTGAGCAGTACTGGCAGCAAGTGTGTATTCTGGTGAATTCCACATGTTGTAATCATAATGCTGTAAACTGAACTTTCTCATGACTTCCTCAGAGTGACTTGGCCATTCTTTAACATATATAAATAACAAATAATAACTCGTAACAGAAAATTGGTTGGCTAAATGAAAGTCACAGTATTTACACAAATGTATTGAAGACACATAACATTTGATTTTCACCAAGAAGAAGCAGAATTTGAAGTTGATTATTTTGTTGATGTTATCTAGAAACTTCTACATACACGATACCACAAAACCATTTAACTCAGGGTCCATAATGAAACATGATGAAGTCCCAAGCAAGCTATGTTAGTTAGTCCCTGTTATGATACTTGAAATTCAACACAGCATTGCAGAATATAATTATATCCCTTGAAGGATGATTAATATACTTTAGGTAGCGCATTAGTGTTACTGCATTAGTATAGTATTTTTGTACGAGGGTATCTTCTGAAATGAATGTCTACTTTTTGAACTGCTAAATGCTCCACTTTGCTCTCTAGACACTCCCCAAGTTAGCTGCTGCTCTAGTGTTGGGCAGGAAGGAAGCATTATGCTTTCAAATACTTTTTTATTTCTTGAAACAATGAGTGCTGTGAATGTGTGGGAGAACAATAAAAATTATACTTTAAGGCTCTAGGATTGGGAGTATAATTCTCTGGGTTAATGGCTGCCAGGAACTGTTTTCCTGAACATTTTTGTTGTGAGAAAAAGTACAGTTTGGTATGCACAGTAGAGGACATGTTGTTCCTGCAGCCTGCAAGGCTTGGGGAGTTTCTAAACTAACAAAAGTTCATTCGTGCAAATAGGAGGAGGAAGGATACAGACTGTGGGAGATTAGATCCAGAGCAATGTCACTGCCACGCTTCCTGCTTTCTGTTTTTTTTAGCGCCTGTAACAGCTGAAACAAGTGTCTTAATGTTGAAGACTTTAGCATGTTTTTTTTTCTGTTGGTAAGTGAATAGTGTATTACTGTTTTTTTTTTTTAAATTAATACAGCCATAACAATTTTATGTGCAAATACTCAGATATCTACTTTAGTCTAGTTCCAAGAAATACAGACCATATAAATATATATATGTATATTTGAAGAAATGTAACTGTTGGTGCTTACTTCTTTGAACTGAATTAGAAATAGAACAAATTCATGTAAGTCATTACAACACATCAGCACCTTTGAACAAATAGCATGTTCATGCCAGCCTTTGCAACGCATGAGGGTTCTTGCACTTGATGCGTTTAAAGTGTATGTGTAAAGGAGTCATAGCACTTCATTTGTTCCAGATTTTGTCATGTTACAGCCTTATTCCAAAATGGGTTAAATTTATTTTTCAACTTAAATTCTATGCACAGTACCCAATAATGAATTATGAATGGTGCAAATGAACATGAACATGAACAACAAAATGTGTAAAACTCAGATAATAGGTGAAAGGTGTTATATTGCTAAAACTCCCTGGACGTCAGAGCCATGGGAAGGTACTTGAAGTTGAGGGTGCTGAAGTAAGAGCGTGCATGTGTTGGGTTGGGGGTACTAATTTCTGAGGTATAAAATATATATAATATATTCCATCTGACCCCACTGGACACAGCAGACAAGGCATTTTAAGATACAGCAGTGCAGACACAGAATAATCTTATTTGCGTACAGCTGACTAGAACCCATCTAAATATGGATATTATTTTAGCCAGCCCAAAAACCAGATTTAGATAGCATACAACATACCCAAGAACTCTTTTGCACTAAATATAGGAATGTGAAATTACTGTCATTAAGCAGTAATTTCATAATGGAGTTTGACTAAAGTTTTCTCTTGGGATGTTAGGGTGCCATTAAACATGTTCTTTGTTACTTTCTTTTGAATGTTCTTAATTTAT